CAAGATGTTGAATCTGAAGTTCAGCCAGTTCAAAGTATTGAAAGACCTGCATCAGACCACATTCATCAGCAAACAGTTAACAACGAACATAAAATGATCACCAGGGGGAAGGCTGGAGTATTTAAGCCTAAGGTTTACTTGGGTGAATCAGTTGAAATAAAACCTGAGCCCTCAGAACCTGGAAGTGTCATTGAAGCCATGATGAATGAAAATTGGAAGAAGGCTATGGAGGAAGAATTCAATGCCTTAATCAAAAACAAAACATGGAAACTTGTACCACCTTCACGAGACCACAACATTGTAGGAAACAAATGGGTCTTCAGGGTAAAAAGGAATGCTGATGGAACTTTTCAGAGGCTCAAAGCAAGACTTGTTGCAAAGGGATTTCATCAAACACCTGGAATTGATTATTCTGAAACCTTCAGTCCAGTTGTTAAAACATCAACCTTGCGAATTGTACTTACTCTGGCTGTCTCAAAAGGGTGGTCAATCAGGCAAGTTGACATTAACAATGCTTTTTTAAATGGAGAACTGGAAGAAGTAGTTTTCATGAATCAACCTGAAGGCTTCGTTGACAAAACAAAACCGCATCATGTGTGTAAGCTAGAAAAGGCTCTCTATGGACTGAAGCAGGCACCAAGAGCTTGGCATGAAAAAACTGAAAACAACGCTACTGAACTGGAAGTTCAGGCAATCAATTGCAGACACCTCATTATTTTACTTCAAGAGTGAAAATCAGATCATCTTTGCACTTATATATGTTGACGATATTGTTGTAACAGGAAATGATACAAAGCTACTGCAAGGGTTCATTGATGAATTGAACAAAAAATTTGCCTTAAAGGATATGGGACAACTTCACCACTTTCTAGGAATTGAAGTAATGTGGCATGATTCAGGGATTCATCTCACTCAAACCAGGTACATTGCTGAAATGCTGACAAAGTTCAAACTGCAGAACCTAAAGCCATGTCCTACCCCTATTCTTGCTGGCAAAACTATCTCAAAATCAGATGGAGAAGCACTGAGCAATCCCTCAACTTATAGGAGTGCAGTAGGAAGTCTGCAGTACCTCACACACACACGACCTGACATTACCTTTGCTGTCAACAAACTCAGCCAATTCTTACAAGCACCAACGTCTATACATTGGCAGGCCTTAAAAAGAGTGCTAAGGTATCTTAAAGGCACAATGAATCAAGGACTCTGGATACGAAGAAGTGATACACTAAACTTATATGGATTTTCGGACGCAGATTGGGCCTCCTGTCCTGATGACAGGAGATCTACTGGAGGTTACTGCATCTATCTAGGAGATAGCTTAATCGCCTGGTCATCAAAGAAACAACACGTGGTTGCAAGATCCAGTACAGAATCAGAGTACAGAGCATTAGCTTCAGCAGCTTCAGAAATCGCATGGATCCAATCCCTCTTCAAAGAACTTGATCTGCCTCAAATATCAATTCCAATCCTATGGTGTGATAACATAAGTGCAGGAGCTCTAGCTGCCAATCCAGTCTACCATGCTAGAACTAAACACATCGAGTTGGATATTCACTTTATTAGAGACAAAGTTCTCTCAAAGGAATTGGAAGTTAAATATGTGCCATCATCCGATCAAACTGCTGATCTCTTAACCAAAGGTCTTACTCATTCAAGGTTCAACTTCCTTAAAGACAAGCTTGGAGTTACCTTAGTACCATCCAGCTTGAGGGAGGGTGTAAAGAATTAATTTACACTTCAACATTCCACCTCAACCTTCTCCTCACTCCTTGCACTAACGGTTCTGTCCTTGCTGATTTTCTGTTGCACCAGATTTCCAATCATCACTTATTGTTGTAAATAGATTCCCTACACCATCCTAATTATATGGATCAATCGCCACATGTAATTTCTAGAAATTTCTTGTACTCTATAAATCAGCTAACAGCTGAAGCAATGAATCATTCGAAATCCATTCTTATCATTTGCCTTATAATTTAACTAGGACCATCAGGCAAAGCATGGGACAAATCGCTATATCATCATCAAATAAGTAGCAGAGTATAGTGATTCTAAAAAAACACCAATGCCCGATTGCATGATTTTGTAGATTACAGGGTTTCTGGTTCTTGAACGAATATGGTGAGAGCTGAACTTGGGGGTTTTCGTTTGTGTGACAGAGCAATTGTGAAATTGAGCTTTAATTGTGTTTAATTGACTGGGTTTGTTTTATGGAGAAATATAAGTTCCAAAAATAATCAATTCATGATTTAAGCGGTTCACTTTTTATTGTATAAAAAGAAGTATAATTAGTATTAAAAATTTTGGAGTTACATTATATGAATTAATATTTATAAATGGGCAATGGGTGTAATTCCCTCATAAAGGAATTATTAATAGTAGAAATTACATCCATCCATAGTTTTCAATTTCACAATTCAAAAATAAGATTTATAAGTTTTTTATTCAAAAATTTGATACTTATTTAAATTAATAATATTATAAAATTAAATTAATTTACATATCCACCTATATCCCTCCATCCCTAATTTGGCCCGTTGGATTTAATGGCACCAACTGTTGTCGCGGATAAGCAATGTCACCAACCACCGCTGTGCGTGCTCAGCAGTGGCTAGCGCTGTGGCGATGGCCTCGCTGCGATGACGCTGAAGATTTAAGCAATGCAGCTACAACATCGGGATGTTAATGTAAAGTTGTATCATGCTGGAGAGTAGAATTGAAAAATTGCATCGGTGATGGCAATGTCGTCAGAGACCACCGTTGCAGCACATGCGGGACCAGACTCTGTACCGGAGCTTGGTTGTGGTCTAATGCCGAATGACGGGAAATCTAGGGAACGATTTGCTGCAACGACGAATGAATTGAGAATCTGGGAAAAATTGGGTCTTGATATGTGGTGGCGACTGTAGCATTTCACCGTTGTAGTGGCTTTTGGTGTTTTTTTCATCGCTACAACAAGTTTGTAGTGTTTTGTGGCATTTTTGTGATAGTTTTTGATGTGGTGATAGTGAAGTGTGATGCGGTGGTGGTGGAGTGGGGTGTTGGCGATTTTGGATCTAATTTGTTGGTGGTGTTGGTGTGGCGATGGTTTTGTTGGATTTAGTAGATGCTGTGGTTTTTGTTGGCGGTGGTGGTGGTAGTGGTGGTGGCAGTTTTGAAGTTGAAAGTGGTAGTTTTATCGTGAAATAATTTGTGATCTATAAAATTTTTGATTTGTGATCGAGAAATAATTTGTGACCAATTAATTCAATAATTTTTGAATTATAAAATTTTTTATTCGTGATTGAGAAATAATTTGTGACTAATTCATTCTATAATTTGTGATCAAATAATATAAAATAGTGACTTTAATATATTTAATTAATAAAATATATTTTTAATTAATTATTTCATAAATAAAATTTAATTAATATCTGATTTTTGAAGTTTTAAATTGGTTATACTTAGTGAGTGTTTGGTGGGGATTAAAATTAGATTTTTAGTAACCTTTACAAGTTTTGGCTCGAGAGAAATAATTAATGACCAAATAGTAAAGAATTGTGACCTTAATATATTTAATTAATAAAATATATTTTTAATTAATTATTTCATAAATAAAATTTAATTAATATCTGATTTTTGAAGTTTTAAATTGGTTATACTTAGTGAGTGTTTGGTGGGGATTAAAATTAGATTTTTAGTAGATTGTGATAGAAGTTTTTGAAATATGTGGTTGAAAAGTTGTGGAATCGATGAAAGATATTGTTAATATTGATTGTTTGACTTTAACTTCAATTAAAATTTGATTTTAATCCGAAACAAACATAATCGTAATCTCTTAGATATGAAATTTTTCATTGTTAATATTAGGATACTTATGAGTTTGCCCAAAACTACGGACAGCACCATGGACCACACCCAAAACTACGGACAGCACCATGGACCACAAAAACAATGGACCTCTATTAAGAAACCTACATAGAAAATGGATCGGTAACATGAGCCACAACTTTAATTCGACATGTGAAATACTAGCCCCACATGAAGTGGGGAATCAGCTCTTTAGAATTGATTTAACTGCAGGTTCACGAATATTGACAGACAATAAGCCAACCCAAGATCTATATTTGAAGGGATGAGATTTGTTTCTTTGATTTCTTCGAAATTATTTGATTACAGATCAAGATGAATATGGGACTCTTCTTTGATTTTTTCGAAATTATCGAGATGAATTTATGCATATTGCTATAGATATGTATTCGATCCTGACTTCACAGGGGTGGACCCTGTGCAGGCATGTGTCTGCACTGAATTTTGGCCGCCCATTTCCACCTTTACACTAACACCACTATTAGGTATTCTTTCAATTTAGCGTGTGGATCAATTTAATATAACTATAAAAAAAATTTTAAATGGGCGGATGGGCCAAATAATTTATAATTGTGACTCTAGTCTTCCAATTTCAAAACACGTGTTGGATAGTGTGATTAATTTTAATCCTTGTGTAATGATTCAGAATCTTAATTATGTATTTTCTTTATCATAAATTAATACTTGTTTTTTTTTTATAGTGAAAACAATCATGGAGAGATTTTATAAAAGAAAATCTCTTGTGAAGGATAAATTGCGTAATCTGATTGGAGATGAGTGGATGAATGTTGACCTTATTATTTATGTGGAGAAAGATATATTTTTAAAAATTGTGATTGTATAAAGATATCAAAGTATGAAAATTTGTAAAGAACAACTGTAAGGTATTTCATTTTTAGTATGATGTTTGCGTTATAATATTGTTATTTTTTATACATTTGCTAATATCGTCCGCACTCTGGGAAAACTTCGTGGGTTCGTCCATTTGACTTCATGTACCAACAGTAGAAAAACAATACTCACCTATTTCTTAACTAATAAAAGCAATAATTTGGTGTGGCAATCAAATAATTTATGCTAAAATTAAGAACTATTCACGATTTATTAAAAGCAAATGGAACTGATCACACGTTTTATTTTTGCATTCATCACGACATGTTCAATAGAGCATTTGCATGCTCCTGCACAACCTTCCATGCCAAGTTGACGTGCCAATTTTCTGTAAGGCTCGCACCCACTGCAAACCGCATCACATATACGCCGCCGATCACTGCATGAGTCATGTATATCTTACCGGACTCGTTGATGGATTCCAGTAACTTGGAGTTGAAGTTATTGGTGGCTTCCTCCATGGTGATGATCTGATTTTTTCCGATTTCTATCGGTGAAATCCTGAAACAGACAGTAGAGAAATTTCTAGGTACGACCACTTCAAACCTCTTGTCCATGGCTATTAGGCCCTCAAAATTTTTTGCCATGTTTACGTGACTTCTAAGGAATTTTCTGAGATTGTCGACGCCATAGCTGCGGAGAACGAGCCATAATTTTAGGGACCTGAACCTCCGGCTGAGTGTGATTTGCCAATCTTTATAATCGACGACCTGTTTAGATTCAGAGGCTTTGTTTCTCAAGTACTCAGGATAGGTCGATAGAGCCTTGACTAGGGCGCCCGGGTTTTTCACCCAAAGGCAGCAACAGTCGAGGGTGCTGAAGAACCATTTGTGTGCGTTGAAACTGAAAGAATCTGCATTTTCAACGCCGTCAAGAAAATGGCGAAACTCGGGGCAAATGCATACACTACCTGCATATGCAGCATCAACATGAACCCAGATTCCGAACTCTTTCCCAACTTCACAGAGTGGATTCAGTGCATCAACGGCGGTTGAAGAGGTGGTTCCGATGGTAGCGCAGAGGAATAATGGAACAAGCCCCGCTTCGATGTCGGCCTCAATTGTTGATCGGAGTGCCTCAGCGGCGAGTCCAAATGCATCAGCCTTTGTAGTTGAGACTGCTCGGAAATTGTTGGGGTTGATACCTGCGATTTGAGCTGCCTTTTGCAATGCAGAGTGGGTTTGATCAGATCCATACACCACAAGTTTGTTGATATTCTCCCTACCGATCTTCTTCAACATCTGATCCCTGGCGGCCACCACCGTGCACAATATGGCCTCGCAGGTGGTTCCCTGTAGAACCCCACCGCCGCCGCCGGAAAACAGGAATTCATTGGGAAGCTTTAGCATTTTCCCCAGCCAATCCATCACTATACTCTCCAGCTCCGTCGCCGCCGGCGACGACATCCAGTTGAAACCCACAACATTGAACCCAGTGCTAAGCATTTCCCCTAGAAATCCTGCAGTGCTTCCACTGGAAGGAAAATAAGCAAAGTAATTTGGACTCTGCCAATGTGTAATACCTGGAACTATATCTTTCTGCACATCTCGCAGAATTTCTTCAAGCGGTTCCGGTTCACAGGGTGCAGATTCTGGCAACCGTTGCCGGAGATACCCCGGTTGGACTTGGCTTCGGACAGGATATTTCTCAACATTTTCGTAATAATCAGCGAGGAAATCAATGACCATGTGGCCTTGCTTTCGGAATTCTTCAGGGTCTAGAGGCTTAATGGTTTCATTTTCATGTTTCTGGACCTGAATGCCTTCCATTTTGGATAGCTATAAGTGAAAGAGGATCTTGTTTTCACTTATAAGTTGCTTTTTAGAGGAAGATCTTGAGCACATATATAGAGGAATAGGTATGGAGAGATGGGACATAAAAGCTTAGGAGAGTAGCGCATTCAATTATTTTTTTGACAATTCTAATCCTACTATAATTCAATTATTTTAACAATAATTTATTTTTCGTTTTTCAATAGATATTTAATTTATTTAATCATTTAATTACCATCAATGTACATATACATTTTACATTTCATCAATGTGCTTTCATTACTGTATGAATTCCCTACTATTAACTTTCAATCAATTAACATTAACGTTCATTTAATTAATATTCATCTTTATGCATTTCATTGTTATTAATTAAAAAAAAAAGGATGAACCGCATCCTTAGCGGCCCCCACCTGCCCTGCCCTAGCCTTGGTGAAGGAGGTAAATTGCGGGTTATGCCTCCAAGGGTATAGGGTGGAATGCTACTTGTACACTTGCACTTACCCAATTGTCAAATCCATATTTCAGGATTCGAACCCTTGACGCGGCAGCCTCAAACAAAGTTAGAGTTTTTCTTCATTCCCCTTTTACCACTTGGAGGTGTGCCATGTGGCCTTCACTGTTATTAATTCTAATTATAAGTAAGGGTGAGTTTGAGCCACATTATTTTGGAAGAATGTATTTTAGAATAATGGAAAATGTGTGGTTGAAAATGAGTAGAAGAATTAGAATGAAAGTTTTAATGTGACTCAAACAGTGGCTAAATTAGAATTTCACAATCCNTTTTTTTTTTTTTGAGAGAGAGAGAGAGAGATGAATTATCCTTTCCATTTTTGTGCTTTGTTTAATGAAGAATGTTGCAGTATTTCTTTCTTATTTCGTCTTTTTTTTTTTTCTAAAATTTTTTTTATGTGAAAAAATATAGAGTTATCATTTAACACTTTTCAAAAATTATTAAACGTTTGAGTTTTGATTAACTAATGATCGTTGGACAGAATCCATCCGATTTCCTTCGGACGCAGATTTGAAATGTAATTACTACTATTTAAAGTTTTAAAACATCGCTCCACATTTTTAAAATGTTAGGAACCTACACAGCAAAATCCTATAATACTATAAAGTCATTAATGATACAGTTTCGAGACACACGATAAAGCACTCCATTTGTTAAAAAAGGATAAATTATAATTCATTTTAAGGTTTTGTTTGGGTTTCCTTTTTTATATATATATTTGAGACTGCATGTGCAACAAATGGAAAGTAAAGGTAAAACCTGCAAAAATTTTAACGAAAAATTTCATAAAATCGACGAATACTCTATATATTTATTTACTATTCATTTTTACCAACTTATAATTTAAACAACTAAAAAAATCCAAACAAAACCTAGATTTCTTGAAACTTTTTATTGATTTAAGCATTTTTTTTTCTTGCTGTAAATTACAGACACATTTAACTTGGGGATAAGATCTTAATTAATGCGACAGTCAAAAAATGCAGGAGCGAGGGCAGTTGTATAAGCACACTAGCACGTGGGTTCACGGACTACATTTCAGGCATTTTTTATTTTAATAATTTAAATAATTAAAGAAACTAAGGTAGACCAATCACGTGTTTGTTCATCATGAATCACGATTTTTGTTTTGAATGAAATTTCAATAATTCAATGAATAATGAAAACAACAAATCTTCACCTTGAATCGATTTAAAGAGACTCTTTTAAAACGATAAACAATACGAAATCGTTTGTTGTAAAACAGCCAAGATACTAGAATTGCTCTGATATCAATTGTCGTGAAACAAACCATCGAATTGAGATATTGAAATTATATGGCAAATAATAATGAAGTATATGATCAAGTAAAAGAATAATAAAGACAAAAATATGACAAAGAAATTAAAAGATTTTATTGACTCGAGAATAATGAAGAAGAGAAAAAATTACAATGAATCTTATAATTCTAGTAATCTATTTTCTCATACTATGAAATTATATAAAAAAGTCTAATATTTATAGAAAATAAGTAGAGGATGTCCAAACCCATATAGTAGAGTTGTTGATGAAGTATGATACCATAAAATTGAGTTCAAAACAAATTACAATTCCAAATGAGCTTCCAAAATAGAATTTCAACATGACATAGGACTCCAATAATATTCCAAATTTGAATTCTTCATAACGTACATTTCAATTAGAATTCTTCAATTACTTCAATAAAGAATTCAGGTCACACCTAATGCAAATACGCATATCTACATATGTTTAGTAAACGTATAGTTTGCATGGGGGTATCTTCGTGCAATAATTTGATTTTGAAATATTCTTTAGCCCTATTTAGTTTAGTTAAATATTATTCATTTCGTAAATTTTGATTTTTTTTTTTTTAAAAAAAGATGAAGTATTTTTTGAAAAATTGATAAAAATTGTGAATTTATAAATGTGTCGTCGAAAATAAGTTCAAGAAAAAATAATTTTTAGGAAATGGTAGCCAAATCGGGAATTCAAGTTTCTGTATGATATGAATTAAAATTTAGATTTTAAATTAATTCAAAGTCAACAATTAATTTTAATCATATATTTCATGGAACTCGTAATTTTTCAACCACACATTTTATTAATTTTTATTAAAATTTATTAAAAATATGATTTTAATCCTCACAAAACAGTGGCCGGTAGAGTTGATAGCAATTGTTGGACATTGTTAAATGACCGGTAGTGACCCGTGAAACACGTTCTTGGAAGCATCTCGCACTTTAATATATAATATTTTTGAAAGCGCCAATTTTAATAAATGCACAAAGTTTTGTTGGTCTCAGAAATAAAGAAATAATTATTAGTAAAGTTACTGTCTTATGTCAGCGAAAGAAGGAACAATTATGGTGATATTTAATTTTATGATGCATATCGATATAGAACACAAAATAAGTGAGCTTAAAATATATTAGAATTGATCTCATGTCCTCGGTGGATATGATAAAAATTTCTCACTGTTGATGTGGCAGAAAGAACAATAAGTATGGTTCTCTAAATACGAAGAACCGTAAAGTCGTCCTGTCACATCAGTAATGGGTAGTTTTTATCGTGTTTACTGTGGACAAAAGATCAGATTACTAAAATAGATATCTCTTGAAACCAAAATCATCGATGAAGACAGTTTATTATCTCACGACGAGCACAATTACAGAAGCCAAAAGATAAATCTCCCTCTCTTTCTCTTCTATCGTGCAAGACAACGTTAAAACTAATCGATATATTGTTGAGAGAAGGGGGGCATTTTTAATTTTTGTAATCGTCAAAATGGAATATCACCAATTATAGAACTCTATTTGACCTACACTCACTCCACAAATCAAGACAAAGGGTTTAAGCCCATAAACGTTCACCAAACCCAAAATATTAGTCATGATCACACATAACTTATTGTGCCTTCAAGCAATGTTAAGCTAAAGTCCAACTGATTTTCTTAAAATAAAATCCCAATTAATATTGCACACTAAAAAAGTTCTAATATTATCCCACTTTTTTTGTACAGCTGCCTAGCTGGACAAAAAAAGTTATGTAAAAAGTTTTAGTGGCCACAAGTCTTGAAAATCATTACTTAACATATAATCACATTTAAATGTTTTCTGTTCAATCTAATTACCAAAATCAAATCATAGCCATCAAAATGTATTTATTTACAGAAATTCACATTTTGGTCATAACTTTGGCAATTAAATTACCATGAACACAATAAGATTTTACAGTGTAATACAGACGATGACATGTATGATAAGTGTAGTTTCTACACTTATTTGAGATCCTAAATGATGATATTTTATTGTATTTTCAATAAAATTCTACTTAATTTATGTTATATTGCATTTTTGTAAGTAAAACATTATGTTTGATGAAGAATTGGAGAAAAAAAGTGAAAATGGCGAAAAATGGTAAGATCCAAAGTTTACGGACTAACATGTAAATACTCAAAAGTTGTACTGAAACTCACGATGAAGATTCGAGAATGCTAGGGATCAAATGGATGTAATTAGATGTCAAAAGGAGTGAAAATATGACCAAAATATTCTCACAAATCAATTTTCAGTCGCACAAGGATGTTCCAGATTTACAGTGAAATATTGAGACCCATTTTTGGACTAATAAACATTCGAATTGGAAAAGTACTATTTCCATCAAAGTTGTAGATATGTGAGTTATCTTTCTAACATATTTTGAATCACCTTAATAAGATATCAAAAGAGGAAGTTATGATAAAAACACTAAAAAATGTCCAGAGTTTGGAACAATGACCTAGCGCCCAGGCGCCAACAACGGAGCAGCAACCGAGCGCCCAGGAGCTGTTTTACCCAGAAAAAAGCATTTTTACAGATTTTCAGCGCCTGGGTGCTACCTTGGTACTTGACGCAGCGTCTAGGCTCTGCCTCATAGCAATTAGGCGATGTGCTGTACAACTTATGTTTTTGTTATTCGGGCCGCGAGAAGCTCAGACAAAGACTCTAAATTGGCAAAAAACGTGTAGGGAAGTATAAATAGATCTAATGAGGTACTAATAAAGGGTTCCACACATTGAGAAAGAAGGATACAATGAGAGATCGAAGAACCCAATTCAAAGAAGAGAATCATCACAAAATTCGAGTTTAAAGCGTTGATTGGAAATAGAAGAAGATTTTGGTGCAAGATTTAATTCGTTTCTACATCTTTGTTAAAATTCGGTGATGTATTCCATTAATTTTACTTTTTATTTTTAAATTATGAGTTACTAAACTTTAGATTGGGGAAAATAATTTAGTCAACTTGTGATCTTTTATTTTTCTATTCAAGATTTATGTGATTTATTCTTATATGTTTTGGCTTTACTATAAGTTTAATGCATTAAATTACCTGATCAATAATTTGATGATTATGTGAGGCTCTTACGAATCGAAATGTGAGTTTGAGACTTAGACCATATAATAAAATTCGGTAAATTAGTATAACTTGTAGAGATATATATACT